CACACACACACACACACAGCTCTGCTTCTGAGATCCATCTGCTCTAGAGTTGAGCTCTGCAGTAACAGCATGGGCGTGTCTCATCCATTTTGCATGGGGGATTGGAGCCTGTTTGTTAATAGCTATTATGCCAAAATATTGAGTCTTGCTACTTTACATCATGTTGCAGCTTCAGTGAAAGCATGTCTCATTATATTGTTATGTTTTCCCCTCACTAAAGAGAGACTCTTTATTATTATGTGCTGCTAGATTAGAGAAACAAGGATTCCGACGCCTCTGATGCACCTCAAGCTTTATTATTTCCTCCTCCTGACGGTAACGGGTCAGCTCGATGTGCCGCAGGTTTGATCTGGAACTGGTCCCTGGTTATTGACTGCGAATAGCCAGCACCCTTGTTCCCATAGTGACAGGATCTCTGTGTGCTGGCAGATAATCAATAGCTGACTGTCCTGCTCACCCGGCCTTGTGCCTCGCAAATTTCATCAAGACAATCGACATTGCGAGATATACTATAGAGAAAGGTTGTGGCTTTCTTACCTATATAGGCTTAAAAATAATAATAATGGCACAAAAATAATGCATAAAATAATGCATTTGGGCTTCATGTGAATGTGCGTGTTTTATGTCATTTACAGACATAAAGGGGTGCTGAATAGCTCCCGTACATTCATTTGTAATTGGTTGTGTATTTGCAGTATAAGAGTTCAAACTTAAACCTTTTTAGCTGAAATGGCTTCAGTCCTCTGTTTATATTCATGGAGGTTTTTAAAAACGCAGACTTTGTTTTCCTATTTCTCCATGACAGATTTTAATAAAGATGCAAGTGTGATACATTTCCCTGCCTCCAGTGCATCTATGTAGGGGTAACACAATATCGACTCCTGCCCGGCTGTTTAATTGCATTTCTGTCTCTTCCCCATATTTCCTTCCCTCCAAAGCTCTATTTTCTGTGCAGTGGATGGAGTATTACTAGCTGGCGGGCTGCTGGCTCTTTGGGATCTGAACAGCATATCCTGTGGGATTAAAAAGAATTATGGTTGCTAATGGCATTCTCGGTAACATTTCTATCAAACCCCAGTGCCATGGCTAAAGCTGCTGTCTCCACGATCTATAGGTGTATTTATCACAGAATCATAAATTGATCCCTGCTGGAGAGCCAGCGAGTGGCTGGTGGCTACATAATCACTGCCCTAAGCCACTGTTACAGGGATAAAAATACATCCTTTCCTTTCATTTGTCAGAAATGATTTTTTGAAGTTTTGCTTGACTTGTTGATTATTTTCTATCTTGCCAGAAAAAAGAAAAAAAAAAAGCACTTCTGGCTTGAGACTAATTGGGTTTCCAGTAATTCATTAGAGCCTGATTAGTGTTTGAGTAATGCGGTCTTTTTTAGCTGCCAGAAATTCAGCCTGTCTGCTATCACTGTAAGCAGCTCCTCATGTGCTGTTTAATTTCTAAATTAAATTAAAATAAAAGGGGGACAGCATTTCTTATTTATGCAAATGACGAAAGAGGATCAGATTTACAAACAGAATAATGAATAAATGTGTGCGCGTGGATTGCTTGGGAAATGATATTTCAGGGCACTGCTTTGTCAAAGGACGATCTGTGTCTGCCAGCATGGACAACATCCCAAATAGTGCCACTGTACATCCCATTGCTGAAGCCCGGGAGACCAGCATTTGCATTCTGGCTGCACTGTGTTTAATATTTTATTCAGCAAATGTCAGTACTGTTGGCACAAAGCACTGGCTGTGAGCTCTGTTGTGTGCTGCCAGTATACGTGTAAATTTGTTTTTCTAGAGCTGAAAAGATGAGTTGGTTAAAAAAAAATTATAATTTCACTTATTGGCCAAATTATTAGGTATACCTCTAAACTCCTACGCCTCAAGCTTCAAACTGCTCTAAGCACTCAGATTGAGGGTTCTTTGTTCCTCTCACCTCTGTGATGTCCCTGCTATGGATATTACATCATGTCCCACAGCTTTAGCTGTGAGCGCAGAACTTCCACAACCTTCTGTTTGCAAGGGGCAGCCCGTAAGAAGACTTGAAGAAGTAAAAGGGTGTACTTAATGGAGAGGAACTCCAAGCCACAATCATGCAAAGCTACTTTAGTAGAGTCCAAGAATAAAATATGTGGTGGTGGAAAGGATGTGATGCTGTAGGTCCACTTTGTGCATGTATTGTCCAGACACACGTCACTCAATTTACTGGACTTGGATTTTGAAGGTGGCTCTTAAAGTTGCCAGTGAATGTATTTTGATGGGTGTGATTTTTATTTTTTAAATATCTATCATACTGAATATTTTGTGCTATATTGAAAATGTCCCAGGACCCTGTGGGGACATTTAATATGTATACTTTTTACTCAGTTAAAACTAGACTAAATGATGATACAGTAATTAGTTATTATTAGTTAGTCCCGTTTTTAGGTTTTTGCAACAACACTGTTAGTGCTCGATGTAACGTTCAGGAACACTCTGAGAGGCTGCACAGTGGTTGGCAGCTCAGAGCATTTCTTCTAAATGTTAATGAAAACCGTGGATTGTATGCAGTCTCACCAAGGCTCTAGCACATAAGAGTGGTACACAAGCACTGTTCAGTCTGCCTCCTTTTTATCTTAAGTTTTGACAGAATATCTTTTGATCACTATGCAGAATCCTTGTTTTGTTTTTTGTTGTTTTGCTAGTCAGCATGCTGTACTTTAGTGCTGTACAGTGTTGCTCTCAAGGATGCCAGCGTGTTCTGTTGTTTTGACTTCAGTGTCTCCTTTTTCCAGGCACAGCACACACTCATCAGACGAGGCAGGATTTAATGACCCGAGCTTACTGGAAAACCTCCAGAGTAATCACGTAAGTAATGTCAAGGTTCCCCGTCACCCGCTGCTGCCGTTTAGGACAAAATTAAGACGGATTTTGGATCTAATTGTGTGTGCTTGCATAATATCGTCTTTTGCATTTTAAGTAGACTCTTTTTAGCTTTATTTTGTGCCTTTAAAATGGTGACGCATGTTATTATCTCACGAGACAAATTTGGCAACTGATGGATTTAATTGTTTTTAATATCAGTTTGACTAAAATCATGCTGAGGGGTGGATTACTGTTTCTTTGCATCAAGATTAGCCAATTCTGACAAAGCAGTGAGGTGCACTACTATCTTGCCATCCTTTGCAGGATTTTAAAGGGAGCTCTAATGACCACCTGTAGTCATGCAGTGGGTGAAAACGGTGATTGATTGGCTGTTTGAGTCACTGAGCTGCAGAGTGGTGTGGAGGAGGCAAAATGTCACATCCAATTAGGTGCAGTAGTACCGCCCAGGGAAAGTAGTAATCCCACTGTGATGTTTGCTTTGTTATGACAGCAGAATCTCTCCACACATTGAGTTTGTCTAAGATCTGCTTCAGTCTCACATTGATAGCCTCTCGCCAGTTTGTAATTATGGTTCATAACTGACTGCTGCTTGGAAGCCAGGGTTTGCATGCATTTTGGTAACGATTTAGCCCGAATAATCTGGACGGTAATAAATCATAGATGTATGTTTTTTTCTTTTTCCCCAATCATTTTTTTCAAGGTAACTTCTAGCATATAAGAAGACTGTCCTTTGAACTGATACGTTGTAGGCATGCTCAAATATATGAAGGTTTTTGGTAGAAGCAAATCATCAACATTAAAGTTGATATATATGCTCATGGCTATTTTATTAGGTATGCGTGTTCAGCTCCTCATTAACAGCTGTTTAATATCTAATATCGGCCAATCACGTGGCAAATTTGCTTTTAGGCATGTAGACTCAAGACAGCCTGCTGAAGTACAAACTGAGCATCAGAATGGGGAAGAAAGGCGATTTAAGAGACTATTCCAATATAGACCAAAATCTCAGGGAAATGTTTCCAGTTCCTCGCTCTGAATGCAAAAGGGCTCCAACCCTTTACCTGACAGAATGGTCAGTGAGTGTATAGTTATTCAAAATAAGGTTTTTTGCGACTCTCGCTAGGTGGCAGCACATGCTTGCTTCTAGAAGGACTTCAACAACACTAACCCCACGTAACCCTCAGTAATAGTGAGCTGAATTACCAAAGCGATATCAAGGTTTTTAAACATCACCTCAAACTTTCAAGACGTTGGTTTAATTAATGCACAATCAGTGCTTCACTTTCACTTAGATATCGCTGCTGGAGCTGCTGAATGAAGCGATGCATTTGACGTAACAGTCGATATTCTCCTGGTACAAGCGCTTCTTCTTATGGCCTTCAGAGTGCTTCTTGCATGAACATTACTAAGGAGAGGGGAATTAAGAGTGTTGACAGAAATAAGCACCCCCTCTAGTGCTTTTCATCTTCCCTGGACATGGTCCACACCCACAGAGTTTCAATGGCTTCTTCATTTTCTCCTCCCCCTTAAACTTTTTCTCACACGGGCTGTGTCTGAAGCGATGAGTGTCTATCACTGCTGCTGTGACACAGGTTACCCAGAAGTTATTTGGGGTGATAGCTGGCAGCACAGTATTTCCTGTCACATCTAATTGTGTCAGCAGAACAAAGTTCAGATGTCTGTACTGTCTGCCTAGTTTACCACCACCCTCGATGTCTTGCTGTCAGACGTGTGCTTTTCTTCTGAGAGGAGGAGTCGGTGTCATGAACTACCCAATCAAACGTCTGTCTGCTAGCATCTTTAAAGCAGGCCAGAAGGGAAGTGTAAATGCAGCATGTTGGGGTTTTACAGTGATTATTGGCTGGACTTGGTGTGGCACAGTAACCTCCCAATGACAATCCCATTATTGTCATTGGGTTTCCATGACAGCAGTCTTAATGAAAAGATCCCATCCCTTAAAGAGCAATTAACAAAGACCTGCCTTAAACCTGCATCAGACATTAACCCTCATCCCAGTAAGGGTGTGAGAGCTGTCCAAAATACCTGCACTTTAAAAGAAAACATGTCCTCACTCAATCACACACAGGTGTACGCACTCACACACATACTGTCCTGTCTTTCAGAGGATACCCGTCAACCCAGGCCAGATTATCATGCTGCTTGGAGGCAGGGAGGCCTCTCTTAGCCACCTGGACTGTAATAGACTCGATGTATTTTCATTTGGAAGAGGCACTTTTCATTTGTCACCCTCCCCCCTTCATTCATGTGATCCTTTGCTCCTCTCTTCACAACAGAAAGAACAAATTTAATAATACTCTGTGTGAGGCTGCAGCCTTTTGTTTGAGATGGGAGTGAAAACATGCACTTTTGAGCTATCTTACACCAGTACTCCAGTATTATTTAAACCTGCATCTGATATTAACCCTCAGATTTCCCATTAAGGAGGTGAGAGAGTGCAAAATCTCTGCACTTGAAAAGAAAGCATGTCCTCACTCTTAGGCTTTTATGTTCTTTGTGTTACTACAGGTTCATGAGACCTATATTCATAATTCATTGGCTGGTATTAAACTCACTGCTAACAAACGTTTGCCGCCAGGCTGCTGTGTGTGCTGTTGCTGTATTATACAGGTCTGCTGCAGCCCTGCAGGCTGCTTATATTACTGTCTTGGCTGTAGTCGGTCACTGCAAGCCGGTGGTCCTCCAGCCTCAGCAGATGCCTGTCTAGGTCTGTCCCGTGGCAAGTTAGTCATACTGTTCCCTTCATTAATGTACAATGCCTCAGTGTATAGGTTAGGCCTTCTTTCATTAAATGAAGCACATTTCTACTGGATGAGGAGGCATGAGTCTGTCAGCAGCTGGCAGTTTCTGTGGGATCCTCTTGGCTCGTTATCCACAGTCATTAGCCTCTCCACGCTTGACTACTGAGTACTGAAGCCACATGTATTTCAGAGTTTGACAAAGCTTAGACTGGCTTTGAAACAAATGGAGTCATAAATCTTTGGGCGCTACACGATGTGAAGGAAATTCATCAAGTGTCAGAGCTGCAATTAATAATGGTACCTGTTCAGGATTAGAGTTCTCCTGTGTAAGTTGCAGTCTTTGTGTTTAGTTATAATTCTGCCAGCAGTTAAGTGTAGATTTGTGATTATAGTTTGCAAACAGGAATGTACCTGAACGGCAGTTCAAAAGAACTGAGAGTAAAGTTGTTTTTTGTGCTCTAATGTGCTCATGATGCAGCAAACTTATTTGGTCTGGTTTTATAAAACTTTAAATAAATGCTCCAGCAGACAGGTCACTGGAGTCTGCAGTGCATTCTAGTATTAATAGAAGCTGTCTGTCACATTTGTAGCGGCTGCTGTAGCAGGTTGTGTATGTCGGCTGCAGGTTGATTATGCTCTGTCGGTGTGCACTCTCTGTCCTTGCTGTCTCTTCCTACAATACCGTAGCTGATTTGCTTCTGTTACATGTTTTATGAAAGAACATTAAAAGTCAAAGTGCCCCTTCTTCTTCCTGTAGCCTACAGCTGCTGTTATCCTGGAGTTCATGACCATGATGGCCATCTGTCACACTGCAGTCCCTGAACACATGGATGGAAAAATCATCTACCAAGCTGCGTCTCCAGGTATATCCCACTTTTAAGTGGAATACACAATGTTATTACAGTGTGTGCCTGTTCACACACAGTAATTTAAGATCGTCAAAATTTACCAGACTTCTTCTTGATTCTGACGTTGTTTGTGACGTAGCATGTTGTTAATCATCAAACTGTAAAACCAATGAAAAAAATGAAACTACAGATTCTGCAGAATGAATCTACAGTGATAATCATTACAACTGAAGACATGGACAAAGGATTTCACTAAGACAGTGCAAATATACAAATAATTCTTTAATACCAAAATCTATTGTTCACTGATATATAATGGGACAGCACGCCTGCGCCCTTTGATGGCACAGTGTAAGCTTAGCTGTCGTCTTAACACATGCATCCTAACAGCAGCTAAAAATAGAAAAGAACTAGCTCTCCCAACACATGTTGCTGTGATTTAACGGTGTCAAAGACAAGTGTGAGAGTTGCAAAACCTCTCCTTTCCTTCCTTTGGTTTTGCCCAGTGACACGTTTCTGTGTAATGCTACACCTCTCCTGTACAAGTAGGTTCAAAACTGCATGTCGAAAAGAGCAGATTTTAAATGGCTAGTTGTGCAGCTGTGTCTGGATCTGGTTCCAGGTGCTCTGCATAAATGGTCTTGTGTGTCCTTGATATTTCTCTTTGTTGTAGTATTTAATTTTCCATCTAGCGACCTTTGTGTCACAGCAAATGGAACACACCACTACAGCCTCCGGGCTCCAGTATTTCATAAAGACGTTTATGTAATCATCAGCGCACACACGAGCCAGGAATCATATTATAAAATGAAGTCAGCTGTTTACAAAATGCATTCTTCAGTCTATCACATCCACGGGTGAACTTAACAGAGTGAGACAGCTGTCAATCAGGAAGTTAAACACATAACATATTTCTAAACATCAAAGTTGCCACCATGACAAACATTAGATGAGGTGAAATCCACCACAGAGACTCTAGAATAGGTTTTAGCGTTAATGCATAGAGACTGCCCTTAACAGCAGTAGTTATGTGTCCTGAAAATAATGCAGATTTCTGAAGAGACCAGCAGGTTTCACCTCCTAAGACCTGAACTCTTCCACAGCAGCATTTTTAATTTCTCTTTGATATTTGGGCTGATTGGGGCCCGATGAATGTAAAAACAAAGAATTACCAGATTTTTTATTTTTACCTTATTTTTGTTTTTAAGAAAAATCAGAGCCACATCTGAGGATATTTGTTTAAAATGTTGATAGAACAGTAGCAGCATAATGTCCTCATAAGTGGATATCAGGCCCTTGTAGAGCAAAATTGAGTATTTTGGTCTAAATAACCCAAAATGTGATGTCCACATATGTGGACGCAGGTCCTAGGAGGTTAAAGGAAAAAGCATTTGACATCAGTTTATAATGTACAAACATACGGCTGCAGTTTGTCAAATAGGTTGACATATCCCGATCGTTTTAAATATGTTTATTAGAGAACTGATGAACACTTTGATTCGAAAATAAGCTTTGCATCTTCATTTTGCTAATGACTTTTTGGGGGGCTTGGATTGCTTCAAACAGTCGTGTTCATGTGAAGCTTTGAGGTTTTTAGAGTGGTTGCAAAGAGCTGCTGGTGAAGTGAACTATAAAGAACAGTAGAGAGCTCTTTCTTGCCCTGCAGCATCCCCATGCACACGGTAGCTGGATCACAGGTTTCAGTCACTGTACTGAACCAGGTTCATGCAGCAACTGTGAAACATGGCTGCTGTGGTAAATACCAGGCTCAAATGTGATGTTACCTTGGATATTTGTAAAGGTGTTTTTATCTGTAACATTTTTCTTTGCTCCCCAGATGAAGGCGCTTTAGTGAGAGCAGCACGAAACCTTGGCTTCGTGTTTTCTGGTCGAACCCCAGACAGCGTCATTGTGGAAATTGTAAGTTGGACAAAACAAGTTAAAGAAAGGCAAACAGCCTATTATACAGGTCTGCTTAATCTATAATACTGGCATCATCGTGCTCCGGTCGGCATCTAAATAAGTCCCATCTGTAGGCTAGGTCATTTCCAAAAAACACTAAACTATCCCCTTGTCTATTTCACAGTACTTCATGAAATTTGTCAGATGTTTTGAAACAGAACTAAAACAAATACACTAAAAGTGGTTTTCCACTTGGATCACAGTGATGGAAAAACACAACATTTGCCGTGATTATATCCTGAGTTGATGCAGTGTGTCCTCTCCAACGCTCGGGTCACTCCTCCTGTTGTTCTCCTAATTGGCTAAGCTGATGATTGCACTCAAAGAGCCTGAGGCTGAAAGGCCAGAGCCATTTCCTCTCTTTTTTTCGCCCCTTTTTGGTCGAACGTCTCGTCTCCTAGACGCTTGTCCAATTTCTTAATCTTTATTAGACCTTCTAAAGCTCTCAGCATCTACTTTAATCACTCTGTCTTGTACCTAGCAGTGTCCACAATTAAGAAAGTTAATTGAATTTTACCTTGTTATTCTCCTTCCATCGGCTCAGTGCAAGCAACTGATAAACACATTTAAGTGCAATTAAAGCTGATTGGAGGAGGATGGCAGGCTTGGCTGAGCTACTTAAGATAACTTGTCTCAGAAGACTGAGGTTGAAGTGTCTCCTTCTGAATTACGTTAACGCTCACGTCGCTTTCAATTCAGGTTGGAACAGAGGAACGATATGAACTGCTTCATGTGCTGGAGTTTACAAGGTACAGTTATTATGTTTTTATTATGCATATACACTTATACATTTAACAGTCTTTTACTATAGAGTTTTCTGTTTGAGCCTCAGTAGCATCATCATTAATTAACTAATTAATCCTAGTTAACCCCACTGTGGTCACATGGTTATCTTGTTACCCACTCTTTGTCTTCAGTAATCATGTGCTAGCTCAAACCATGCATTACTTTAGCATTGTGGTAACACACTGCTGTTATTTCTCTCCTTATTCCACCTTCTTCTGCCCTCTCACTCTCTCTTGGCTTGGCTTTTTTTATCGCTTAGCGCAAGGAAGAGGATGTCAGTCATCATGCGCACCCCATCTGGGAAGATCCGCCTCTACTGCAAAGGAGCTGTGAGTGTCTGTCTCTCTCCATAGCAACGCGTGACAGGTCATCACCATCATCGCCGAAACGCTCTTCTCTCCTTATTGCCTCTCGCTCATGTCAGGAAATCTTTTCATTGGATGACAGGATGAAGCAAGATCACCACATTTCACACATCTCTGCCAAATAACAAATAAACGTTATGGCCAGACTACATTTAATCCTCAGTAAGATTTAATCGGATCTACAATTTCCTGGATTGCAACAGTTTTGTGCTGTGAATATAATACAAAAGTGAGAGCAGAATTACAAATTGCACAGTATAACACAACATCAATATTTTATTTTTAAATGTTACATGGTTATTGCAACACCCCTAATCTGTGGAGAAGGGACGAGATAGCGGAAGCGTTCTGGTGTCTGTTTGTAGTCAGCGCTCTATTGGCTATTTGGGTTTGAGTAGGTTTTGGTCACAAGAACATAAACAGTCCGTGTGGCCGGAAAAACTGGATTGTACTGAACCACCAGACGACAGAAAGCATTTGTTTTCATCCGATGATGATTCATCGTTTAACGAGCTTTTTTCCATTTATCTATAAACAATAACCCGTGGATGGAACTGGTTACTCTTAGTCCAGATATATGGCTGCACCAAAAGTCTTGAGTTCCCAGATCAGGCTTCTCCAAATGTATATCTCTTTTTTAATACAAATAGCTAGAGTTATCTGAGTAGGAACATGAAGTGCTTCTACATGGGCTGCATACAGCCTTAGACCCACATTTGCAAAGCAGCACAAGTCCAGGTGGTTCCTTTCTTTCCTCTCTGGGTGTCAGTAACCAGTGAGTGTTTGTTTCCCTTCAGGACACAGTGATCTATGACCGCCTGGCAGACAGCTCTAGGTACAAAGAGATCACATTGAAGCACCTGGAGCAGTTTGCCACTGAAGGTGAGTGGACTAACATCGCCCCCTGTCTGCCAACAATAATGTGTCTTTTCAGGATGCTGTACATCCCTGCGTCATCTCTGGACAGAAGTAAACAAACTTCCTCTTCCTGAGAGCCTTTCCTCTCATGCATTATTTAATGGAAATTTCCTTCTAGTGGGAATATTCTGCTGCAATTTTAACACAAGGCTGTTGACCTGAAGGAAACTGCACCACATACTCTGCTTCTTGTTCTACGATCATACTGCCCCCTTGTGAGACACCAGCAAAATGATGTCATTAGGAATATTTGATGTGTGCTAAATTTAGCATCCAGGACAGATTGTGAGGATCTTCAGGCCCAGTAATTCCCAGTCCAAGTGGAGATACTACAGATGAAAACCTACTTTATCTGCTGCTCGCTTTTGCCATTTTGATCCCATAACATCTTTCAGACTAGAACTCTTTAGTCAGTGTCTTGGACATTTGTCTCATTTAAAGTGCAAATTAATCCACTTTAAATGAGACAATACCTCAATCAAATATTTAGACATAAAACATGTCTTAATGTGGGTAACCAACTGTGGAAATGTCATTCTGCCATCTATTAGAGTTAGTCTTATTAAATTCTAGTAAAAATATCTGGAACGTATCGAGTCACAACTCTCCCAAGCATCTGTTCTTTCCAGTGTATTCCTGTACATTAAAGGTTTTTACAGAGTACTTTATTCATGCATCTGTGTAGGTTCTCAGTCAACCAGGTCAAGGTACTCTTAAGTGCTGGAAATGAAGGCAACTGGACTCCTTTGTGGTTCACAGAGATTTTCACCTCCCATTCTAGAGGCTTCTTCAGTTCTGTAAATTGCTGGAGAGTCATTTTACAGACCTGGTGGTGTTATGTGTTCGAAAGTGGTCGTGGGAGTCACTGAACCACCCTGTAATGTGAGTTGTTAAGAGTCACATGAGCCGAGGTGTGAATTTAGGTGTGGGTCATTACCCTCCTGTCAGAGGCCAAGGTCCTGAGACCCCGCCCCCTATCATGTGATTTGTTCAGGTCACATGGTTCAAGGTGTGAACAGGGATTTCATGAAGTGATAAAGGGAGCTGGTGCCATTTGCCACCACCTTTGTTCAATGATAGTCGTTCATATTTGATGTCGATGACCTCCTTTGCGCTTCTCCCAAACAACCTGAAAGAGTGACCTTTCTCCTTTAGGATGCATACGTACAGCTGAGTGTCCTGTCGAGATGATTCTCCTAGATTGTGTTCCTCACTGAATTGCGCTTCACATTTGGTATTTGGGTCTTGTCAACCCAAGTGAGCCTTGACCTTTGTGACCTTAATAAATCACATGATGAAAAGGGCCCTTTTGACACAATGAGCCACGCCTTGATTCAGACTTTTGCTTACATGATCCTTTATGTCTCACGTGATTACAAGGTGGGTCAGTGACTCCAGGGGGCAATCCCACCAGTGGGGTCTCGCCATCAGTTTATAGAGCTGAAGAAGCTTCTTAAATTAGAGGTAAAACATCTTCATGGACCAAAAGGGTCTGTTCGCCTTCATTTCCAATTTTTAAGGCAGGGGTGTCAGACGTATAGCCGGCGAGCCGGAATTGGACTGTATTATCAAAAGTTTTATAGCTTCTCCTCCTGACATGGCCATTCATACTACACCAAAGTAAATAAGTAATAGATAAACCTTTCAATAACAGAACATTTCAGAAAATAAAAACTGAAACATTTTGTTGGAAATGCTCTTATTTTTCCGTATGCTAAGATAGCTGATCTGAATTTTGAATTTAATTGACTTTAATGACATTTTTAAACATAATTTTATTAAATGTAATACATAAAAATAACTGTTAATCAAAGTTTGTAACTGGGGAAGTTACCATGACGTTGTTTGATTCGAAAATTGACCGTACTAAGCTGAAGCGCTTTCTTCAACAAAGACAGCTGCTGCTTTTCTCAGCTCCTATTTAGCGTATGTCAGTAACCCTTTAGTACCTTTTATTTACCCCCCAAAAATATGAAAAGTGGACTTTAAGCAAATTTATACTCTGAATGGGTAAAGTAATACAGTAATGGTGTCTGAATAACCTGCTTCGGATGCAAGATTCAAATCTAAATCTGATGGTTTAGATTTGAATAGTCTCCGATGGTTATTTTGCTGGAGTTACCGTTCATGCTGCGTATTGTATTGATTAATATGGTCAGAAATATAGCTGACTTAAGTAGCAGTGTTTTCATTGGACTGGGTCTATCTGTGTAACACGTTTAACAGTGATTGCAGAGCACAAGCTTTGTTCTGTAATGTTAAACAGTCAGAACTATGACATTTGACCCAAATGTTGCGATGCTGCTTTTAATCTTGTAGGCCTGCGCACTCTGTGCTTTGCGGTGACAGACATCAGTGAATCATCCTATCAGCAGTGGTTGGAGATCCACCACAGAGCCTGCACCTCCCTGCAGAACAGAGCCTTAAAACTGGAGGAGAGCTACGAACTGATAGAGAAGGTTTGTTAAGCGACATCCTGTTTGTGTGCACTGTGTCGGTTTTTCTGAAAGGCTATTTTTTATTGCAGAATCCAGTTTGACTGACAAGCAGCACAAAGCTTTTCATCTGGTTAAATGCGGCAATTTCTTAATGCGGAGGATTTTATAGGAACAAAACTTGTGAAAAGTCAGACTGGCCTTGAGCTGAAGTGTAACTAGTGGGGAAAATGAAATAACATCTGGAAACCTGCAAAAGTTCAAACTCGTGTGTGTTTTTATACGTTTCACCAGCAGGTAGAGTTGGTTTTCTGTGAGGTGGGTCTGTGTGGAAGCGTTAGTCAAACACAGGAAGCCACAGAGTAAATCAGCCACTTGGCAGGTTCGTCATGGCTGCTCCTGGCTGCCCAAAACAAATGGGGGCAATCAATCATGAAATAAACATAAAAGCTTTCAGAGAGAAAAATTTAATGCGCGTTGCCAAATGAGCAGAGCGTGGCACTGCGGCCCAACCCCAATTCCCTTCCCTCGGTCCCACCCCTCTGTTTCTGCAGTTAGGGGAGGTAAGGTCTCCTGTTTCTTTTGGGATGAAGAGGTAGCCTTTGGAGGACTAGATGACCAAAGGGTGATTGTGATTGGGCCAGGGTTAGGGCCACCCACACTTAAAAATGCACACAGTATTGCCACAGGGGGGCACAGTGGAGTTATAGTGAAATGTTAAGGATGGAGGCATTCCTGCAGTGTGTCCGAAGTTTCTCCTTCTCATCATTTCTTAACTAAAATGCTGATTACGTATTATGTGGGAAAATCTTCCTATTTGATCCTGATTGTTCTTTTAAAAAACAATTGTTTTGTATTGATACGCTGTTTTAGCTGTTTAATATCTAATTCTTCATTATTTTTCCCCATTTATTTCTCACTGGTCTACTGCAGGGGATACTTTTTATGATCCCTGACTAATCTAAGGACAAGTGTATTTATTGTTTACTGTTTGTCAGTGCAAAGTAATCTGCTCTAGCTCCACTGTGGAAATTCAGAACTTTATTTCCCCCTTTTAACATATTAGAAGCAGTAGTGGTGAATTCATACGAGTCTTTGTCCCAGTGGAAACTTAAGCTACATATACTGGACAGACTCTACCAGCAACATACTGACTATGATCCCGTTTCTCCCTGATTCAGCTGGTACTTGTATCATAATTTACAAAGAGTGCTTTTAACAGCAGCCATAGAAAGAAATGAAAGGCTTACGATGAAAAGGCAAAAGAAAGTTTGGCACATCCAGTCATGGTCTTTCCCAGGCATAGTTTTCCGGGCTGTGTGGTTCCCAGTGATTAGCGTGGACAGACCTACAGACGTCCAGGCAGTAAGGCTCAGGTCACAACTTAAAGAGCTTCCAGAGCCTTTCCTCTGCTGCTGGCTCCTGTCTCCCCTCTACCCCTGGCTCTTGTCAAACCTTTGGCCCTGTGATGTGCCCATACAAGCCCACAGCCAGCCACAGAGCAACACAGAGTTTCCTGGGGAAAAAACAGCAGCTGCATTTTGTGGGTGTGCTTGTGTGGCAGAGATCGTGTCTATAGATGCAAACACAGATGCAGGGGCACAGTAACGGATCCAAAACCCTTAAGTCCACCGCCGCGGTTTTTACTTGGTGATAAACAAGAGCGGCTGATGAGGGGAAAAACTCGACTGAGTGAGTGACACTATCCCGGCTCAGATGTTTGCCTGACACATGACGTTTTAAAGGCCTTCCTGTGTTATGATCCTCACTAACTGACTTGTTTACTGACTTTCTTTGGTGCAGAACCTGCAGCTCCTGGGCGCCACCGCGATAGAGGATAAGCTCCAGGATAAAGTGCCGGAGACCATCGAGACTCTAATGAAGGCCGACATAAAGATCTGGATCCTGACTGGGGACAAACAGGAAACAGCCATCAATATTGGTAAGCAGCAGCATTTATGACCGGATGCTTTCCGAGCTTTATTTCTATGTGAATTCTGCTGTGTCGTGTGGTTTTATTGGTACAATTATTAGTATTTTTACCAGAAATGGGGCACAACATAAAGGTCAGATATCAGTCACACCAAAGGAAGCCTACTTCAAGGCTGCCACACTGCCAAAACGCAGACTGATGCAGCTGACATTGCTAAGATTGAGTTCCCCTGTTATGCAAAAGCAACAATAGCTATTTTCCTTCTTGTTTGTGCTTCACGATGCACTTTAACCTTATTTGTGTACGAGGTCTCATACCAAAAGGAAAGTCCCTGGCAAGCCTGATGTTTTTTTCTGTGCTAAAGTGCATGCCAGCCTCTTACAGGTACTCCAGTCATCCTTCACCCCGAAAGACAAACAGCTGACAAGCTGAATGTTTCTCTGTCACACATATCTAGTGAAAGCAAGCGTCGCAGAATGCCAGATGATGTATGAGCACCCTGCACTGACATGAAATAAGTAACACGCATATGTACACAAGCAGGCACGTCTCACGTATCTAGGTGCCCCAGAGGCAGATATTATCAGAAAGGTGAATGCCTAACGCTGGTTGTCCGTTTGGGTTTGTATTCTTCTTCGTTCTGCGCTAGACGTGGGCAAATCAAACAAATGGATCGACCTTGAATACAGTCAGCCAGGTAACACGGAGGTCAGAAAAAACAGCTATCAAAAGTGCCTCCGTTTGTGGCTGCTCCTGCTGCTCCTGCTGCTCACTGAATCAGCCCTTTGTACCCACTGTGCCCAGATGTGAGGCAGCAGAAGCCCATGCTCACTGGAAGTATTTTTACAGGTTCGCCTTTTGACTGGGTTGCTCTGTAAAAATTCTGCTTAATATTTACTTTATTTTTTTACTACTTTCCTCACTGAAAGATGATACCAGTTGGCAGAGTTTATGGTGCACCTTTAGCCAAATCAGACACCTGAATTCAGGCCAGGACATTATTTAACATTTGGAGGTGGCCGAAACCACCCAAGTGCCACTTTTGGCACATAATACTGGCATGCTCATTAAATGAAATCTTTGTTAATGCAATAATATTCTTATTTGTAAAGCATACAGGTGTGCTGATTTGAAGCTCTGAAGTGATTGTCCTAAATCTAGTGTGTCCCTAAACCTGAAGTATAATGACATACGATAAAGAAACGACTCTGATGCTTTTAGGCTGTCTGACAAAAGAGCAATGTTTGCTCTTGGACACGCTCTCGCTGCTATGAGCTGCTAGCTGAGAGGAGTCTGTGTGCACGTAACTCTCAAGGCAGGTAAGAGCCAGAATTTACTAAAAGGAAAGAGCCAGCCGATCAGTTAGGGAAACAGTGCTCGCTTTGCTAACATTCAGTTAAGTGTGGCTGGAGGGTGCATTATGTCCTTAAGCAGAGAGGGACCAAAACGTAAACACCATCCCTTATCTGAGCCCCCATTATGTTGACCTGTTCCTCTTCCTGTCATTTTACAATAATTTCAAGCCCCATTCTTCTTCTCAAAATCCCAGTCAGCATGTTACCCTCTTTGAGTGGCTTTCGCGGCTAAAGTTTGTATTTCTAATTGTTGCTCCCGAGGCGAAATTCCAGATTAGCCTGACACAAGTGTCATTGTTACACATTCCTCAAATCCTGTGGGAGCGGTGTTTGGTTCTGCCTGAGATGGGAAAGCCAGGAATTTAACTTTGGTGACATTAAAAAAAAGAGAGAAAAGTCAAACGAGCTAAAGGTAAACATATTAAACGGAAGGCAGTATTGACAAGGGGGAAGGGAGTGACCGAGAGAGGCTGCGTCCAGATGGGGAGACGTTTTGCACACATTGGCAAATTTTTGGACGTTTGCACCTTTGCACTTAAGAAAACAATCTGCCAGACCCCAGCCCTGTTTGGTTTTGACTCTGGAGGTGAAATTTGCTCATTTCCTCTGTACGTACATATGTGTGTGTGTGTGCATATTGTGGGTGCACTATTCTTCGGCTATGTGTTTTGTGTTGTCTAAGTTTCACTCAGAGAATGCCACCCATATGTTCACAAAACAGAGGCTTTGTGGTAACCCCCTTAAAGAAACTAAAATCCCTTTCCAGACAGAAGCAAAGTGCAGAAGCCCACAAATATTTATGTGGTTATGGCCACAGATGGCAGCCCTTTTCATACAGCCACAGCACTGAACTGAAGGCTTCAGTCTTGGTTCATGAAATATTTCTGTTTTCCCCAATGGGAGGCGCCCTCTACCACCTTGCTGGTGACCCCGAGCATCTGTCCCCGCCAAAAGCTGAGGGAAACGCTCCCTAGAGAGCCATGTTGGGTAACTCGGAGTTGTAACTGCCTATTAAAACAGGAAACTGACAAACTCTTGTAAACCAAACTCATTAGTCATGTGCTGAGACACTTGCTTTGAGCTGTAAAATTTTAATTGGATCCCTTTAAACGTTGTTTCACTTATTTGATTCTTCTAGGTTTTATATATTTAATATTTGCATGTGGATGCAGGTTTGGGATGAGCTAACTGGACTCTTTACATTTAAGGCAACTATAATTTTATGAGAGTAAAATTGGATTAATTAAAAGTTTTATGTATTTTATGTGC